GGGGCCAACCAAGCCTTATATCCCTCCGAGTCGGCTAATTGGTATCCAGACTTGTCTGGGAGGATAAAAACACTGACTTGACATCGGCTGGCCCCCGCAAGTCATTGTATAGGCCACATCGCATTCAAACGCCACTACGAATGTACAAATGGAAGTAGAATGCGTGCCGCATCCCAAAAAGGATTGATCAACGGCAAATGCTTTATCTTTTTTTATTCTACTAGTTTTTCAATGTGCTGTAAAAAATTTGACTAGATTTCAGAAATGGTGCTCGACCGTCGAGTTCTGGTTGAAAAACCAGGTCTGGAAAAGGAGCGACGCGACTTGTTGGGAAACCTAATAGTGTAATGTTAGAAGAGGTCATGCTAAGTAGAGGTACATCATTGATTGATTTCTCCCAAGGGAACATAAAGTTAGAGCTAGTTGTCGGTTTGGTCAATTTTTGTCGGCTGGACCTCCCATTTCGCAGGCCTAAAATTTGAAAACCCTGGAAGAAATGTGGAAGTGGACATAGCATTTTGTAGAGCAGACAATTCTCTTTCGAATGGTATATGAACATGATGTAAAAGCATGGAGGTTTAGATGAAAATTTTTATTTGAAAAATAACTAGTTATGACAGCCAGCATTGAATGTCTCCCGTCCATTTGCTTCCATATGGCATTAAATTGCTTGTTCGAGTGTAGATTATATGGTAAAATCATAGCATCCAAGAAGATCTGACGCTTATTGTATTTTTTAATTTATCTATAATTATATAGAATTGGTTATTTATTTTAAGAGTTCTCACTATTGATCATTTCATCCCAGTGATCTCTTCTCTCGTGTTGAGGAGTGTGCCTAATCTACATGCTGTGACCCTCGTAAAAGTGCAGTGAAAGATATGCCGGAAACTCTTGGCCGGAAAGCTCTCGTTTCTGCAGCTGGAGGTCTCATTGTTTGAAACGTAAGTTGTAACAATGGCATTCATCGAATAGTCATTTTACCTGCGCCGTGTCTGATTGTTTTTCCGACTAGTTCAGTTCCATTTTTTGCTGAAAGTGAATATTTATTCATAAAAATTGCCGTCCTTGTTCATTAGCAGCTTTTCACATGGTGAGACACTTACCTGTCTGGTTCTTGTGGCTTTGCTGTTATTGTTGCTTTTAGGGTCTTTGGTCGTTCCTAAAAATACTTTGTTATTTGTTATCAACATACAGTCGAATCCCCATCACAATGATAAATGATAATTAACTGAAGTCATGCCTTGTGAGTGCCTTGACCATTCCAGCCGTTGAGAAGGCCATTGTTGGGGTAATGGCAAACCTGAACAGCATCCGTTAATAAAATTTTCTTCTATGTATTCGCCTGTCGGAAAGTTTATAGCATTGTGAATGAAAATGTGTGTGATAAGGAAATAACCAATATTTATATCATTTGCTCTTACTCATTTATTTTACTACTGCTTTTCATAATTAGCGCTTCATATAAAAGACATAATTGCATACAAAAAGTAACCATAGAATAGGGCAGTGCAGAAAGGATAAATAAAGGGAAACAACATGCTTTCTTTTTCGGCATGGGATTGAGGGTCAGCTGGTCGGGCAACATGGAAAAGGAAGGCAAGTCCGGCCAAGCATTGCAAGTCGCTGAAGGGATACGGCTCGAATGCTGTCTTCGAGTTGTTTAATTCCACGGCACGTGTTCGGGCCGGTTGAGATAGACGGGTCGGGGGGGAGGGAGGTGAGGGTGAATTCGAAAGAGATTGAGCGATTCGATATACACGCTAAACCGCTCAGGAAAATTCCCATTTAAATTTTCAAATGTAAATAATGTAATTGAGATATATGTATAATATAATACTTAGTGAACAATACAGCATATCAATTGTGGGACGTTTAGCAGTCCTTCATGAATAGTCCTGCTCTAGAAAATGAGTAAATCACTGTAACTTTCGTACCTGGTAGCTGTCCATTCCAGTTGTTGACGGTACCGAGGCCACTTAAGCCAGGAATCGGAAGCACAGGTATGGGGACTGAAATGTCTAGCTCATTTGAGTACAAAATGCTCCCATTGCGTTTGTGATCGTCCTTGTGAATCCCTTAAAATGCTTATAAAAGCTGGTTAAATTTTGAACTTGAATTTCCACCTGTTTATTATAAACATTTCAGACGGTATCATGAATTCACAGGTATACGGAAACAAGTTTTACACTCATTAAAACGCCAGTAATAAACTTGTTCTGGGCTAAAAATGTACCGGTCGCCAGAACGTTGGCTTTACTCTCTTCGGAGCGAGAATCTTTTTCGGCTAATATAAATATGCCGGCTTACTTCCGATGGTCTGAAGTTTTCTTGTCTTCACTACTTATTGATAGCGATCGTCATCGGATCAATTTTATAAGGCCCTAGCGCCATTGCCGCTTATTTTCTAGTCGCAGTAACGACACATATGTGATAATTGTGAGCTACCCTATGCCACCCACAGTATAGATCCCTTGTCACAACCTCATATGGGGTTTCTGTTCTGCGTATTCGTCTTTTCTTTTCTTGCTTCCTTGTCAACTTCGCTCGAATTCGTCAACCTCACTTCAGAGATGCGCTTCACAGGATGTGACGAAATGACGGTGGTCTGTATGAGGTACAGTCCAAATTAACCCATTTTTCTTGCAGAGTGTTTATCTATTGCGTTTTTTTACTGGTTGACACATTTAGAGAATCTGCTCGTCCGATCGTATAAAAATAGCATCCAACTGGAATCTAGCATTACCTGCTTGCAGTTGCGCCTGAACAACAGTGATCAAGATGGCAATGAATGCCGATAACGTAATTGACTGCATCGTGGACGATTATACTGAAATAGCTAGTAGAAACTCCTTCAAGATTTTCGCCATTAGATGAAGTGGGAAGCATTCAGTTATGTTGGATAACAAACGGCAAACACGTTGAAATGCTTAAAAACCCAAAAATTGTACAAATACAAAGAAGAACTTGAAAAGGTGTAGTGTGACCCCCCATAGGAGGAGTTGAGATTTCGAATATTCTACATATCACCAGTCTGAAGCTGAAGTCTCCGCAACGAACACGCGAAGTTCTTAATAATCCCAGAACTTTAAACAGGAGAATGACGCAGAGTAAACCTTTCAACCAAGGCTTATCACATGAATATCAAGCCAATGAGAATGCATACGTAGCAGTTCGCCTGCAACTGGTTATGCCTGGCCATTTAAATAACATCTTCACTTTGGTGTAAAGTAGTAAATAATGACGTCATTTGATAAGTTAGTTGAATGTTGACGTGATTCTCTGCTAAATATTCTTCTAGGGACCACTATTGTTGTAAGTGCTATTTATAGCCACAGAAATGTTTTTATAAGAAA